ACACGTGTGTACGGTACGGATCATGTTGTTCTTGCCTCATCCATGCTTGAAATAAAGAAAAACGGTGGCACTCAGAGCCGCGAAACTTCGTTATACATGGTCGTATTTTCCTACTATGTTTTGCTGTTTATCGACTAAGCTGTGTGCATCTAATGTTTACCGATTGTGGTAGCATGCGATAAAGAACTACGTACTCAACGAACACAAAATGTCGCATTAGCATCGAGTGTCGCGATTCATGAAAGTCTCCCACTATTGTGTTAACGTAGTGTATTTGCACCTGCCCACCACCGTCGAGGGCGCCGTCTAGTGCGGCATAACCTCCACAGGGCAGCTCCGCTAACCCTATGACCCTTGGATGGCGGCATGAAATGCGTGGACTACCCCTCGCCTTGTCTTCTGAGTCGCAAGTCGACTGAGATAAGGTCTTCGCGTCGGCACAATTTTTGTAGTGGGTAAAATAACGATTCGATCCATGGTCAACGGTCCATGGAAGGCGCCGCCACCGCATGGCGCGAGCCGCAATGGTAGCGCGGCTGCGAACTGGGTCATTTAAGTGAGAGACCGTTTCGACGTGGACGGAACGAGTCGCAGAGTGCAAGTGGCCACTGATAAGGCCACCGACCTCAGCAGTGCTGCAGGTCTTCTCGCAGCAGAAACGTGGGTCATAGCCCATGTGGCGCCGTTCTCATTTCATTTATGCGTGTCTCTGCTGCGACCTGGACTTTAGTTACGTGCCGTACGACAGTTTTAAGAATACTTTTTTTTGTCATTTATGGCCCGGAAGTGTACCGTTGTTTACGAATCTACGTTGGCAAAGTCTAGACAATAGCGAGTCAGCAGAGACGTGTTTGATAGACCTTGAGTCGCCAGTGCGCTTTCACTTTTGCGCGATTATGCGGCAGCATATTTTCTGTTACGCCCTAAACAACTCCTTTAAAACAAAGCGCATACTTGTGTTCAATTTTTTCCGAGAAAGGCACATCGTTCTTACGATGTGTTTTTGCTTTTTTTGACAAAGTCTGTAAAAGAATGAGTCGAAAAATTACCGAAAACGACTAAACAATAAATTCTTCGTTATTTAGCAGAAACTCGTGTGAATGAAATTTATTATTTTTTGGCTTCGCCTACAGGCGTTTACTTGGAAATGATGTTTAAATTGAAATTTTGGTCTGATTATTGCAAGCTGACCGCCAGTTCGAAATTCAGCATGCACTTGCGCAGCCTCTACCCACTCTCTTGCCCACATCCCTAACCGTGCCGCTGTTGCTCTCTCTGCTCTTCAATGCCTTTCTTGCCCGTGCCCCTTTTTATCTCTCACTCCTGCGTTGTCCCGTCAAAACGCACATTGATGATGCAGTGAAAGTGTGAGCCTCGGACGACGGAAAATGCCGCAGGTCAGTCCCTGCACGATGCCCCACTACCCTGAAACACTGCGCGTCCGATCGCGTGGCCGCTGCTGTTCGTTGAACGCGCGCCCGCGAAAGGGTCTGTCTAGCGAGAGGTCTTGAATTGATTCTGCTGCGCGCAGAACGCCTCAGCAGCGAGAAGCCCGAACCGCATGTGGTCGATGGGCAAAGGTCATTTGGCGTGTGGCGAGCGGTGTGCGTATGGCGGCATTCGATATCCGCGTCTATTTGCGTGCCACATTCCAATCGCTATTTTTACGGCGTCGTATTAGTTATTTGTTGCTATCCGGTTTCATTTGTTGTAGTCAGCTCGGTTGGGCTAATTTGAATTCTACGAAAGGTACCGTAAAATACCTATCCTTTACAACTGAGTCAAGCGCTTTCGAAACCAGCATTTTGGAAAAAAGCGTGTCGCGTGCTAATACTTTTAGCTTCTCTTTTCTGTGCCCTCGAAACAACACCGTGCATGGCGCTCCTGTTAACTGCAGCGCCTTTGAGGTGCCGCATGCGCATCCCCTCATATTTTTGCAAGTGCAGCAAATCGTGGAAGTTTTACAGCGCCTTCGCTAGCCAAGTCAACTGAAAGCGCTCCTTCTCACAAGCTTGTACCTCGCATGATTAATGCTCAACTATCTTATCTCGTTAAGTGGCCTAAGGAAAATTCTGTGCAATCACTCGGCACCTTTGTACGAATTACAAATTTTATTCGAAGTTTTCAAAGTAATGATGAAAATAATCGAAAACATTCAACGTGGATTATATATTAATGACAACCATTAGAGGACGTGATAGTTGTGTAAGTGGCCGGAATTTTGCTGTCCGTTCACTTCTCGTCTCCGCTGCTCTCTTCTTCCTTCTCGACTTCAGTCTCCTCCGCGCCGGTGACGCCTGCCATCGGGAAGTCGTAGTCGTCTTCGTCGGCCTCAGCATTGATGGTCTTCTTGGCCTTGACGATGTCCTTCTTGCGCGGGACGGTGAGCTTGAGGCACTGACCTGAAATTTTGCATTTTATTCGGGAAAAATTTAACCTTTTCAACCAGCTAGCTGGAAAATTTTAAGGCCTACCCATCATTTCGGCCTCGAAATCGTGGATGTCGAATTCTTCTGGCGGCAGGTAGTACTTGGCCTCGGAGAAGCGAAAATAAATTTCCGCCTTGTGGAAGCCATCAGTAGCTGCGCTGCCGAAGCGCGGGCCTCCCTGCTCTTCCTTTACTTGCGGCGGCGAATAAACTGTTTTCGCCAGTAGCTGCAGGTGAAGAAAACCTGCAATTGTGCTGTAAAAATGTTTATCGAATGTTTTTGCACGTTACCCTCGGTGTCTCCGTTCACAAGCTCCTGCAGCATGAGCCGCTTAGAAGGCTCTTTCGACGCATGCGGCTCTTCGTCCTTGTTGCCCCCGTCTTCGAGCTGGAAGCCGTCGTCGATGACCTTCACCTCCGAAGATCTGCCAAAGTTGAGCTGGATGAGACGGCCGAACTTCGGGTCGATGAACTTGTCGTCCTCCAGCTGTGCCGGCATGATGCTGAAGGACACGTGGCGACCCTAAACGTCTTATTGAGTCTACCGCACTGTTCCGAAAATTTTACCTCCGCATCTTTGAGCGCAGCGTGAAGACGGTGCGAGTCGTCGCGAAAGCCGAGGATTTTCACGAACCCGCCGTCGACCTGCACGATAGAAACCGTGAGGGCAAAGTTGCCACGCGGTTCCATCGTCGAGATGAGAATGCCGTTTATTTTGCTAAAATAGTTTTTTAAGCGAATGCACTTATAGCATACTCACTTTCGCTCGCTTCCGACGATGACGTCGCCGATTTTTGTCAGCTTGAACGGCTTCTCTGCCTAAAATTACAACTTTAAATATTGAATCGTAATCCCATTCACAATTTGATCACTTGCTATTTTAAAGCATATAATACAAAATGATAATTTTAAAAGATCGAATTGATTAATCCAATAATGAGATACAAAAAAGTAGTTTTTGAACTTTTGAAAAATTTTAGTTTTTTTTAATTTATGAGTCGAAGTCCGACATATGTGAACCTTTTACCTTTTTTGATGGCGGGCACGCGGGGTTTTCAGTCGAGTCGTGGGCACGCTTGGCATTTGCGTGTTGCCGCATGTCGAGGTGAATGCGTTGCGTTAACAGAGTTGGTGTGATTAGTGGCTAGACTCAGCTTAACCTGTAGACCTGACATCCGCTTTTATAAGCTCTGGCATTCCCCTCCCCCATGCTTGATCTTGCCTCTAGTCCGCCTTTATTTTGTTAACACTTCGATCAGCGATGTCCCATGATAAGCGATGCAATCAGTCTAACACGATCAGCGACATGCCTGGTATTCATGGCTAGTTGACCTAAGCTATCGGTACTTCTTTTTCAAATCGGCCACGATAAGGGCTATCTGACTACCACTTGCTCTTTGTGCGCGAAATCGGGCAAGCGACGGTCCCGATTCTTGTTATGTGGCCTCAGCTGTCGGCACCTTTTTGTCAATTGTCGCCCGCGTTAAGTCGCCTACGATAAGGGCTATCCGATTACCACTTGCTCTTTGTGCGCGAAATCTGGCAAGCGACGGTCCCGGTTCATTGTTATGTGATCTCATCTGTCGGCACCTTTTTGTCAATTATATCGCCCGCGTTAAGGGCCATCCTAGTACAATTTGCCCATTGTGAGCGAATGCTGGCAAGCACCATTCCAGGTTTTCAATATTCCCAACTGACCGGTACGGCTAAACGATTACCATTTCCCACATTGTTCGCGGCAGCTCTCAAGCGCTTCTATTTCGCCGACAATATGAGACGGGTCTTACTTTCTTTGTCCGTCCACGTTGCGTCTTTCTTGCTGAGATGTTGCACACGTTACAGTGATGGCTATTTTCGAGCTGACATCAAACGCGCCCCTTTTAACTGTACTGATTTCAACGCTGCTGTGAAGTGTATCCGTTTCCCAGGAGTAAACACTTGACCACCGCGTGAAAAAATGAGTTGTCAGGAGGCTCTTCATCCTAGACTTTCTTAGAGAGCTAGACTTTGCATAGATATGTGTTTGACAACGTTGCCATTGTTTGCCTATGCACTTGTTATTGCATGGTTCTGCAAGAGAGCGCTCCCTCGTATGCTCTTCAGTGGTCATTCCCAATCGATTGGGTCGCTATATCCCAATGCTCGCGCACTTTGTCCGTGCCACCTTTCCCGCCTGGTTCGGAGATCAGAGCTCCCCGTGTTCTTTCTAGTGCGTGTGCTGACGTTTGACTCACTGTGGTCCGTGTTCCAATAGCTCGGGCGATCGTTTCATTTTTGTCACGCATTGGCACGTAACCGTACTGTAGGCGCCTCCTCACCGTCCCTACGTGCACGCCTGTGTCGGCGCGGTGTTGCGACCGCCTTGCATTGTTGCGTGTGCGGCGTCTTGCTTGCAGTGTTGTTGCGCAACAAAGATATCAGTCCTTTTCGTGGTTTTAATGAATGCTTTTTGTTCGTTTTTTTAAAACGAAATCGGTAGTGCAGTTGTATCACTTTTATGATCGTCAGCAAACCCTTTCAAAATTTTCGCAAGAGCAAGCCAGTTTTGTGCAGCCGTTTGCTATTGGGACAAGCATCGATAGCTCAGCGGTAGAGCGCTTGCTATGTGTAAGTGGTCACAGGTTCGATTCCTGTTCGGTGGCCCTTGGCAAACGGCCGGCAATTTTTGTTGAACTCGTCAAATCTATTCTTAAAAAACTAAGCATATATTTTTTCAGTTTTGTCACCCTCAGCTGTCTTCATCGGGTGATGCCCGCTGACTATGGACTTATTCTCTTAGCCATACCGCGGACGAATTTTTTTGGTCATCGTCTAAGTTATGGTTGTTGGCTTGCTTTAGCCAATTGAGCGCTGGCGATCAGAGTAACGCGTCTTTCCACACAATGTTCTTCACTTTTCCTTCGTCCTTCTTGCTTTCTGTCGGTAAGACCCTTAGGCCATCCCAGCAGCGCACTCTTGACAGACTCGTGTACAGCATACCATGGGAAAATGCTTCGTGCGCCAAGTGTACACCTACCATTTCAAACGTGCTCCCTTGAGATTTATTGCATGTCATGCTAAAACAAAGTTTCACAGGGAATTGGTAGCGTGAAAGTTCAAAGGGGAACGTTCCATCGGTACTGGTGCATGAAATTCGTGGGATGAATGCCATTTCACCAGCCTTATTTCCGTTTAAAATTTGGCACACCAAGACTGTCGGCTTCATGTCGCGTACAAGAAGCCTAGTGCCGTTAGTTAGACCTTGACTTATGTTTAAGTTTCTCAGTAGCAAAATCGGCACATTCTTTTTTAATTTCAGTTCGTGGGGTGGTAGTCCTGACGCTTCCAGGGAATGCAAGAACTCGTCTGGATACTCCACGTAGGATCGCGGCTCGCCCTTGTCTGCAACGTCCACGCTATAGTAGGTCTCAAAATCACCCGGAATAAGAGGCAAAACCTCGTCATTGACTGTCTTGCAGTAGTCATTCGTCGGACAAAGAATCACGCGATTTGCCAAAAGTTCGTAGTTTTCAGACCGAATGCACTCCCCGAAAACTTCTTCCACGAGATTCCCACCGGACAGTATTTGCTTTGGCAGAATTATGTCTGCTTCTTCGTCTTGCTGCAGGCCTCCGTCTCCGACTTTTAGCAGGAATTTTGCAAAATTCCTTTCTTCTGGCAAAGCTCGCATATTCTGCTTCAACCTTATGATTTCGAGTTCTTCGAAAAGTGCGCTGTTTTTTAATGAGATACCGATTAAATCTGTCTTCGAAGCGTACCTCTTAACCGGAGTAACCTGTCTCAAATCACCGGAGAGGACAAAGATTTTCCCGCCAAAAATGACCTCATGGTTGCCTGTTAACTGTCGCAACTTTTTGTCCACCGCCTCAATCATGTAATTTGCGCACATAGGTGCTTCGTCAACGAAAAACACATCAGTCGAAAGAATTTCCTGCGCTTTTTTGCTATTTGGCTTAATCCTTGAAAGTGAATCCGGATTCGTTGGTACAGGCAAGTCGAAGGTTTTGTGTAGCGTTTTCCCGTCAATCATGAGGCACGCCGCGCAACCAGTGTAGGCCATAGCCATAAAACGCTTTCCATGTCCTCTCAGCAAGTGGCTAAGAGTTCGGAAAGTAAATGTCTTTCCGGTTCCGCCAGGACCGTCGCAAAAATAAGCAGCTTTTGTCACATTACCCTTATCTGTCTCATTCAGCTTTTCGAACACCTTTTCAATCACCTTTTTTTGATCATCATTCAAGCACCGCTCCATTTCGCGCCCAATCTTTAGCTCGTCTTCTTTGTTCCACTCAACCTCTAGCTCGACAGCAGTTAGGCTGGGAACTTTAATTCCAAAGCTTGCTAAGGTTGTTCCTTCTGTCTTTAGCATTGTCTCTATGTCCAGTTTTGCCAAACTCCGTGCCCTTTTTTCGTCGTGGTTGCGGGCGTAGTCTTCGCTTAGATGGTCACGATATTCTTTCCAAAGTCTTTTTGGCTCTTTGGGCTCACAGAAAAGCAGTATCGTGACAAATAGTTGCCTAAGTTTGCGTGGCATTCTAAATTCACATGCTTCAGTTAGGCATCGCTCAAGCTCATCGTCGCTTCCGACAAGTCCCATTGCTTTGGCGGCCTCTTTAAAGGTCGGGTGCTCTAGTCCGGTGATTGTCCTAAGATATTAAAACTCGTACAACCTCGCCTATGTAGAAGCGGTGTTCGTTCGTAGAAGAGTTCGTCGTCTTTTGGATTGATCGTGGATTGATCGTGTAAATCCTTCCGATGCATGGCTTGGCACCGGGGGCTCTCTTCACCCACTTCATGTTTTTCACTTCTTGCGCTTGCCCCTTTTTTGTGACCATCTGCTTGACCATTTTGTAAGTGTAGTATTCTGGAATTTCATGGTAAAGGAGCTTTTTTGCTTCTTCGTCTTTTTTGTTCAGTTCAAAAAATGCAGTTAAAGTGGAGTGCTTCTTTTCCGCCTCCTCGACTATTTCTTGAAGATTGTCTCCTTCGTTGTAGCATATAACTTGCTCATCCGGTAAATGAATGGCTAGCCGCCGAATCGTATGAGTCATTCCAAAGAGGTCGTACTCAAATAACCTCCAGAAGGCTTCTTGCGGTGTGACGTAACGCATGTCTACGAATTTCTTGATTTCGTCTCTTTCAACCTTTTCCTGACCGTTGGCTTCTATCGATACAGTGATGCAGTCAAATCCCTTGTAAACATACTTATACAAATATTTCACGCTTTTTACGGACGCGCAAATTTCAACGTTTAAATGAGCTCCAAACCGAGTAAGCAAGTACGGATTATAAGGAGCTACTGAACGATTATCAAGTGGAATTCCTTTTTTGTATACGACCTCGCCATTATTTCTACGTCGGTAGTTTGCATAACTGTCTTTTCCAAACTCAGAACGGTCGTTGAAATTTTTTGGGTAGTTAAACCTGCATTTTCCATCCACCATACATCCACAATTAGGATCGAGATTGCCGCAGGGTCCGTGCATCATCTGTTGTTCAACCAACGCGCGCAACCTCGGGTAACGCTCCTTGTCTGGTAACTCGGCGCAAACGTATTTATCGAGATCTGCCGCATCTTTGATCTTGCACTCAGGCGCCAAAATAACGAGTGCGTGACAATGTGGTGTGCCTCTTTTTTGCCACTCTATGGAATAGCAATAAGCAGAAATGCGACCAAAGACTCCTCGCTCTTTTATTTCGTAAAATAATTGTCTGACTTTGAGCCGGAAGACCCTACACACAATATCGTGGACATCCTCTGCTGTTTGTCCCTGCTTCATCTGGCTTAGGACCTCTGGCCATTTAGGGTTTGCAGTAAATGTAAGGTAAATATCGGGCTTTCCGTATTTCCTTACTATTGACATTGCGTCTTGATATCGTTGCTGATAACTACGTGGACTTCCCGTGAAAGACGATGGCAGAATGTAATCTCGTCCTACTTGGACAGCCACTCCGTCAGGCTTCTCTTTTAAGAAGTCAGCAAGGCCCTTGTATGATTCCACCTTAAGTGCCTTTTGGTTTTTTACCTCCATAATGGATCGGGTTGAAGAAACTTTCGTTACGCCTTGCCAAAAGGTAGCGATAATATTGTTCCATTGTCACCTTCTTGTCCGTACTCGTCCTAAGCCTCAGGTGCCAGCCGCCTTCACCAGTGGGAAAAAATAGCGGGTACAGCATCGAATCGATCCTTCTGTCCAGTTTGCTTATCCGCTTAAGTTGCTTCCCCCGTAAGTGGACCGAAATACCTTCATTCTGAGGAAGTTCTCCGTTCTGGTTGACTACAAAGACCGCCGCAATCTCATTAGCTCGTGGCATGTTCAATAGCCTGCGGTCTGTATGCTCCTGTATGTCGAAGAGTAGCTTAAGCTGAGGAGGATCTTTACCCATCCTTGCCGCTAAATGTGCCTGCTCCTCCTCCACTTCCTTTAGCATCATCAACGAACCTCTGTAGGGGCTAATCGGCATTAAAATATGGTCTAATTCAGCCATCAAATGCTCGTTGCACTCCTTGTTTGCAGGAAAGGCCATGCGGTGCGCAGTTGCTTCCGCGGTATCAATGATAAATAATTGTGCGAAAGACGGCGGTTCATAATCGTCAGGATGCAGTGCCAGGTTGACCGTGTGATAAACTTGTCCGTGAATCTTGTAGCAATATGGGCCGTAGTTGTTAAAATTTACTGTCTGAGCTTTCATTGAGCCAAACGCGAAAGCGCTGTTGAACTGTCTGATGCATTCATGGAAATTTCTGTAAAGACCTCTGCAGTTCCTTTCGAACAGTTCTCTCAGTTTGGCGGGAAAGTCTTGAAATGGATCATTCATGTGCAGTTTGCCTTTTAGACAACAAGTATTGAACACTCCTTCCGGATTGCCCTTAACCCATTCATCCTGAAAGAACTCTGCACCACAGTTCATGCATTCGACATTCATGTCCCCTACCGAAAATTCTTCTGCTTCGATTGTCTGAAGAGCATCATAAGTTACGCCTTTGCTGTGCATCCTTGTTTGACTTGCATGTATGCGCATTGACTGCAGCCTTTGTTTCCGTGTTTTTTTCCCTTGGTGCTTTCGGTCGTTTTTCTTTTTTTCGGCATCTTTTTTTCCGTTCTTCGGCTCTTTTTTCTGGGACCATATTGTTGCGAGTATTCCGTTTTCTTTCAGCATCTTTTTGTCTATCTCGTATTTTCTTTTCATGAAACTTGTTCATTTTCCGCGTGGTTCGCGTACCGAACTGGCTGACACCTTCGTCTTCAGACGGAGCTTCAGGTTCAATCCCTTTTGGCCATTTTGAACAACCAGGAGTTTCGATTGTTAGGCTCACTTCAACCTGCATATCGTCTGTCCCATCGGGGGTTTCTTCGTTAGATTCTAGTTCGGGTTCTATTCCGTGAGGCCCAAGGTAAGTCTTAGCAGAAGCAGCGGTCTCTTTTTCCATTTTGCACACCTGCGCTGAACAGCCAGTAACCTCGTTTTATGTACGCAGCGTAGTGCTCTTGTCGGTCAGCATGCCTTTTATAGGTCTCGCTTGTCGTGTTAACGCCCATCACGGCCGACCATCCTTGTTGACATTCGCTAAAATGACTGTCCTTTCGGACAATGAACAACTGGTCCGAAGAGCGCCTCAAAGGTGGGCATAATAGGTGATACG